AAAAAAGACTGATATTTTTTACTCTTAATTAATAAGATTCTTAATTAAATTAGTAAAGTATGGGTTTTTACTAAACTAGATATTTAATAAGGTTTTTATTAAATAAGAATATATTCTAATTTAAAAGATTTAACTATCTTCTGTATATAATATAGTATATATAAATATAAAATGATATCTTTTAGAGTAATAAATAGACTAGTGATATTTTAATATATAATTAATAATATTTTTATAAATGTATTTAATAGGTTTATAATAACCTTTGTAGATGATTTATTAATTTATAGTAAAAATAAATTTAAGTATTAAGTATATATTAAGGAGATGTTTTAATACCTCTAGAAGATAGGATTATAAGTGATACTCTATAAGTATGAATTCTATGTTAAGTGAACTAAGTTTCTTAGATTTATTATTATATTAAATAGTATTGAAGTTAATTTTAAAAAGATTGAAGCTATTTAAAGATAGAAATCTTTAATAAATATAAAAAAAGTGTAATTATTTCTAGGATTTTATAATTTTTATTATATCTTTATTAAATATTATAATAAAATATTATAATTGCTTAATTAATTAATTTAAAAAGGAATACTTTTTATATAGAGTGATACTTGTGAAGTGGTATTCTAGAAACTTAAGAAAAAACTAATATTAATCTTGGTTCTTAAGTATTACTAGTATAATTTAAAAATATAATTGGAAACTAATATCTTAGAGGAAGTTATTATAGTAGTATTATCTTAATAATATATTGATAATAAATAGCACTTAGTAATTTATTTTTCTAAAATAATAGACTCTATATAAGCTAAATATAATATTTATGATTAAGAAATGCTGGTAATAGTATAAATCTTAGAGATATAATAAGCTAAGTTTTAAGGATTAATTAGAAATAAATTTATTTAAATTTTTACTGATTATTAAGTCTTAGAATATTTTATGATAATAAAGAAGTTTAATAGTAAATAAGTATAATGATTGGAAACTTTTTCTGGATATAGTTTTTATATTAAATATTGATTTAGATCTTTAAATAAGAGAGCTGATATCTTAATTTAATATATAAAGAATAATTAATAATCTAAGGAAAAGAATTTTTTATTATTACTCTTTAGCTGACTTAATCCTTAGATTATAAAGGAACTCTAAGAATAGGATTATATATAGAAAATAGAATCTAAATTAGAAATCTTAGTTATTATAGATAATATACTATATATTATTACTAGAATCCTAAAGAGTAATTAAGAGAGTTAAGAGACTATAAAATATTATAAGGTAGTTAAAAATCTTAGATCTAACTAGGATTTAATTAATAGTTAATTAATATTTAAAAGGAGACTTTATATACTAGATAAGAGAGATCTTAGAATATAATTATTAGATAAGATATATTAATAATCTACTACTATTTATCTTAAAAAAAATAAGATAAAGAAGCTGTTAAAAGAATAATATTATTAAAAGATATAGAACTAGGATATTAAGTGATATATTAATAATTATTTTATATATAAGAGGATAAATATATATTAAAATTTATTATTAGAATTATTGAAGCTACTACTTATATCTATTTAATTATAGTAGTATATATTAATAGATTTTATATTTTATTTAGAGAATAAGTATGGTTTTAATATAGTTTTTGTGATAGTGAACTGACTGAGTAAAAGATTAAGATTGATTTCTTGTATTAAGAATATCATAGCTAGGGAAATAGCTAGATTATAGATTAAATATATATTCCCTAAGACTGGTCTGCTAGATTTAATAGTATTAAATTAAGAGGGATAATTTGTATTGGAATTCTAGATAAAGATATACTATATTCTAGAGATTAAGCTAAAGCTATTAATAGTATATTATATATCTATAGATAAATAAACTAAAATTATAAATTAATATCTTTTAATCTATCTATAACCTTATGTTAGCTTTTATTAAGATGATTGATCTAAATAATTACTAATAGTGAACTTTGCTGTAGTATTCTTACTTTAGAAATTAACTAGATTATTATTATTTAAAATTAAGAAAGGTTTTATATTAAGGATATTATTTAATTAGTTACTATTAAATAATAAGAATTTTATATAGAATTAGGAATAAGCCTAAATCTAGATAAAACACTTATAATAGATATAAGATTATATGAGATAGAATATAATATAAGTATAAGAATAGTAGAAAATATAGATGAATAAGCATTAATAAGAGGTAGATTTTGATGTTGGGGACAAGATTATATTAATAATTAAATATTTTAATAATGGATGATCTAATTAAAAGCTTTCTTATTAGAACTTAGACCTATTTAAGATTATTACAAAGAAAGGAAATGTATTTGAGTTGAAGTTTTTTAAATATTTTTAAATATATCTAATTTTCTTACTAGATAAATTTTAAAAAGTATATTTAATAGAATTGCTATTAAAGTAGATTAAGGATCTTTTATTATTAGTTAAGATTAATAATTATAATGAATAAGAAGTTAAATAAATTCTTAATATATAAATGTATTACTAGAAATTATAGTACTATATTTAATAATAAGGCTATAATAATAATATAATATAGTATCTGACAGGAAATTTCAAAAATATATTAAATATTATAAAGATATTCTATAATTTTTATCTAGAAAAATCTAAATTACTATTATATTTAAAGAATTAGCTATATATAACTAAGAAAGATGAATTCTTATCTAATTATAATAAGAATAATATATTGTTATTAATTTGATATTTGAGATGAATATTACTTAAAATAGAGGATAATATAATAGCTTAGTATAATTTAGCTTGGTAGTATATAGTTATTATAGAAGTACTTATAAGCTATCTTTTATAAATAAATTATATATAGGGAAGATGTGGGACTAGATATATCTTATAGGGATTACTCTATATTTTGATTTATACTATAGATTGCTAGAGGATCTATATAATATTAAGAAGGATAAATGGTCTTTGTCAGCTAGTATTCTACATTGTTAGAATCTTCTAGAAATCTAGATTACTAGGCACTGGCATACAATAGAGATAGCCTATAGGTATCCAGAATGAAAGGAAGTATAAGTAGGAGGAAGGGGGCTAGTAGTTATTCTTTCCTCTTCTTCTCTCCAGTTTAGTCTCTTCGTGTTTAGCGACCAAATAGATTTGGCATTGCATCGTCACATTAGATTTGAAACAGGATTTACTATATAAATAAGAAAGTCTTTCTAAAAATCCTTCCTTCTATATATCAAGAAACCTATACTATAAAAAATATTATAAAAGGCTTTCTGCATGCCAGGATTATATTTTATAATTCTAAAAAAGTGCTATCTTAATTACAAATTAGTATTAAAAAGAAAATACCATCTTTCTTATTAAAAAGTACTACTTAAAATCCTAAAACACCTTATAATACATATATATTAAAACAGCAGGCTATCTCTATTAAAAACTTCTTAATATATCTAATTTAAGCCCTTCTTTATTATTAACTCAAGCACTTAATCAACTAATTAAAGATTTCTTAATAACAATGTATAATGCTGCTATTCTAGTTAAGAAAAATTATAATTTACACAATTCAGTTAATCAATTATAAAGACACTATAATAGATATATAAGAGCCCTTCTAAATAAGAGTATTTTAATAATTTCTAAAAATAGAGAACTAGTATAGTTACTTAATGAAGTTAATGACCCCCCTCCACTAATTAATTAAAATAACACTTTACAGGCACCTCGGCACGCACCTCCTAGATATAATAATTACTGGCAACTAGAGCATAAACATAATAGATGCCCCAATCCTTCTAGCTAGTTAAATCTATATTTTTCTACTTCTATATACAATTTATAAGGGTTGAAAAAATAATGTGGGTCCTCGGTGTCCGGTTTACTCGGGTGTCCGGTTTACTCGGGAAATACGTTAACTAGTATTACATGATTAGTCACTGTTAAGTTTGAATGTGAATATCACTCCACCATACGACTGCCCGGAAATCCGCCCATGGGCACTGTTGATATAGTGATTGGTAAAGTAGTAGGCGTCCATGTCAGTGATGTAGTAATGACCGACGGACTATTGGATGTCAAAAAAACCATGCCTACTGCCCGCTGTGGCTATTATCAATATGCTGTGATACGTGACACCTTTGACATGATCATTCCGGGGGCAAATGAGGCTTTGCGTTTGGGCATGGAGGGAAACGCCAAACATAATCGGCAGCTTCATCATGAGACAGAGAACGAGCGCAAGGGAGCAACATCGTCCTGATTCTTTCACTACTTTTGATAGGAAAGTCTATAGAAACTGTTTCTCGTGAGTTGTCGACTCGTCTTTCTATCTGCTGTTGCAGCTTTATGGAAGCCAATAGCAAGTAAAGCTTCATAATATAGGTGATTGGCCCAGTTTCCTATGGCAAGTAACGCAGAATCCCCTACATTGTTGTAGTCCATCAATCGATAGACATATATATGCAGGGTTGTTGTTGCCGACCTCGCTCGGACTTCTCTCGGCGTTGTGAGCAGGTGGCGTCTAGGATGGGACAAGGAAACACTAAACTAGTGTTTAAATACGAACGAGACACACAAGCCGTTTTCCTGTCGTCGTCTGCGAAATGTACACACGCTGTACGGGCCATGCGCTGCTTGCGTGGTGGCTGGACTGGGCGAGTCTTCTACGTCACTGGATCAACAAAATGTCATCCACTCCACATCGACCCTTCCGGCTTTGCCGACCACTTTTCACTCTCAACTCAGGAAGAAACTTCCCCAGTGATGGCACCAGTGGGTAACCTGGGCCAAGATTTAGAGTGTAGCATGATGACATTCGCCCAACATGCAAGCTGCATGGTTTCTCAGCTAACTGGACCGCAACCCAACTGGCGTGACAGTTACTTATAACCAGCTCATGATCACGACAAAAGACAAGGAAAGAAAAAAAGAAAATAACTATACCATAAAATCCAATCTACGAATACTTTCTTCGAAATGCCTCCAAGTGCTGTCGACGTCGACGTCGACACCAAGAGCATCTCTGCTTATGGACTTGCTCGGTCGACAGTCAAGGTTGAGAAACCACCTCTTGATCCCGAGGAAATTCGCAAGACCGACGAATACTTTTGTGCTAGCTTGTATCTCTGTCTAGGTATGCTCTATCTCCGCGACAATCCACTACTCAGAGAGCCTCTCAAGCGCGAACACATCAAGAGTCGCGTTCTGGGCCATTGGGGATCCGACGCTGGACAATCCTTCACGTGGATTCACATGAACCGTCTCATCAAGAAATATAATCTGGACGCGTTGTTTGTTTCGGGTCCCGGCCATGGTGCACCAGGTATTTTGTCCCACTCGTATCTGGAGGGTGTGTATAGCGAGGTCTACCCCGACAAGACCGAGTGCGAGACCGGAATGCAACGATTCTTCAAATCATTCTCATTTCCCGGAGGTATTGGTAGCCATGCTACCCCCGAAACCCCTGGCAGCATCCACGAGGGTGGAGAGCTGGGGTATTCGATCTCACACGCCTTCGGCAGCGTCTTCGACCATCCAGACCTCATCACCTTGACAATGGTCGGCGATGGAGAAGCTGAAACGGGGCCACTCGCGACCAGTTGGCACAGCACCAAATTCCTTAACCCGATCACTGACGGTGCTGTTCTGCCGGTTTTGCATCTCAATGGATACAAGATCAACAACCCAACGCTCCTTGCCCGTATAAGCCATGAGGAGCTGACGTCGTTGTTTATCGGCTACGGTTGGACTCCGTACTTTGTCGAGGGCAGCGACAGAGAAAGCATGCACCAGGCAATGGCAGCAACGCTCGAGCATTGTGTCTTGGAGATCAAAGGTATCCAGAAGCGAGCGCGAGAATCCAAAAAGGCCTTCCGCCCGCGGTGGCCCATGATTGTCCTCCGTACTCCCAAAGGATGGACTGCCCCAAAGGACGTTGATGGAAAGAGGTTGGAGGGCTTCTGGCGTGCACATCAAGTACCAATCACAGACGTATCCACCAATCCCGAGCACTTGAAGCTGCTCGAATCATGGATGAAAAGCTATCATCCCGAGAAACTGTTTGGCAAAGAAGGAAAACTGATCCCCGAACTCAAGGCTCTCGCACCAACCGGAAACTTTCGCATGAGTGCTAATCCAGTGGGAAATGGCGGTCTTCTTCGTAAGCCATTGGATCTGCCCGACTTCCGGGACTATGCAGCTTCTAATCTCGAGCCTGGAATTACATACCTCGGAAACATGAGCAATGTGGCCAAGTTCTTGCGAGACGTAATTGCTAAAAACCCAACTAGTTTCCGTCTTTTTGGTCCGGATGAGACTGAGTCCAATAAACTCGGTGAAATCTACAAGGCAGGCAAGAAAGTTTGGCTAGGTGCGTATTTCGACGAAGACAAGGATGGAGGCAATTTGGCAATGGATGGCCGCGTGATGGAAATGCTCAGCGAACATACGATTGAGGGCTGGCTGGAAGGTTACATTTTGTCAGGACGGCATGGCTTGCTAAACAGCTACGAGCCTTTTATCCATATCATTGATTCAATGGTCAACCAGCACTGCAAGTGGCTCGAAAAGTGTCTTGAAGTCGAATGGCGTGCCAAGGTTGCATCGTTGAACATTCTACTCACAGCCACTGTCTGGCGTCAAGATCACAACGGATTTACGCATCAGGACCCCGGCTTCCTCGACGTTGTCTGCAACAAGAGTCCAGAAGTAGTTCGCATCTATCTGCCTCCGGATGGAAACTCGCTTTTGTCTGTGACAAACCACTGCCTTCGCAGCGTCAACTATGTGAATGTCATAGTGGCTGATAAGCAAGAGCACATTCAGTTCCTCAATTTGGAAGAGGCCATTGAGCATTGCACCAAGGGTGTTGGCATCTGGGACTGGGCTAGCAACGACCAAGGCGAAGATCCAGACGTTGTGATGGCTTCCTGCGGTGATGTAGCTACACACGAGGCCCTCGCTGCAACTGCGTTACTGCGCGAATATCTACCCAATCTCAAAGTCCGATTCGTTAATGTGGTAGACCTGTTTCGCTTGATTTCTGAAACCCAGCATCCTCATGGCATGTCAGATCGACAGTGGAAAGCACTTTTCACTGACGACAAGCCTATCATATTCAATTTCCATTCATATCCGTTCCTCGTGCATCGTATGTCGTACAAGCGTCCAGGACAGAAGAATTTGCACGTACGCGGCTACAGGGAGAAGGGCAACATTGATACCCCCTTCGAGCTCGCCATTAGGAACCAGGCCGATAGATACAGTCTTGCCATTGAAGCGATCGACCGCGTTCCGTCACTGCACAATAAAGCTTCTTCTATCCGTGAAAAGTTTATGAATTTGAGGATCCAGGCTCAAACCAGTGCTTTCGAAAACGGAATTGATGCTGAGGAGATTCGTAACTGGAAATGGCCTTTTCCGAAGCACACAAATTAATTTCATTATGTCTTTTTATTTCCTTCTTAATAGTTACTGTTATTTCAGATTTGTAATGTTGCCAAAAAAGAACCGCAAGGTCTCAGCTTTTACGCTTCTTTCACAAGATTTCCTATGAGCATATCATACACGAATATACATCGGTTTCAACTGACTAGTTGGTTTCCTTTTATAATTCTCTAACCTGAAAAGGTGATTGAAATTTGAAATATAATGGTTTTCTAATGCGGCCAGTCTCCTACTAGCATGCCGTTCATCGTATAAAATCTGTTCTATAGATAAAATTTGGAACTGAATCTCGTTTCCCATCAGAGCTCTCTTTGGTCTTCACGTCACGCTGCCATTGGTCTCGAAATCTTGCGCTTACATCGCCTCCTTACTCTTAGTTAATGAGGAAGGAGTATACGACCTCTAGAGATATCAAGACTCATGACGACGGATCCCTAGTTGAAGAAGTAAATCCATCGATTTTCATCACTTGGGAAATCTGTTTGTTACATCGAAAAGTCCACAATCGCTTGATTGAGCTTCTCAATGGTCTTTAACAGTGATTCTTGATAGATGTACGCACGGAACCTCATCTACACAGAACTTGACTTCAACTAGAAGCGAGGATTGTGGAAAAGAAAGAAGGGATAGTCATTTTATTCAATTGCTTCCTCTTTAGCCCGGGATTTTAGTCGCGCAATAGCCTCATCGACGATATTTTTCGGCAAATCTGGGATGTAGTCTCCGTCATCTGCAGACTGATCATCCTCTACAGCGGTCCCCGAAGCTGTAGCCTCATTCACGTCGTCATGACCGGTCACGGCAGGCAGCTTCCCGCCAGATTGTTTGGAGAACTTAATCCTCATTGGCGCGCGGCCAAGGCCCGGCCATATATCTGATGGAAGATAATCTCCCTGCTCAATTCTAAATGCTTCGCGAGCATTGATGTCCTCCTCATACAGCTGGTCCAATTTAGCACGGGCCTCTCGGAGCACTCGCTCTATACCTTGACGCATATGCTTCCGGCGGGAAACTTCCAGGATGAGTCCATCATATGCATCAAGAAACCCGACATAAAGAGATCGTAGGTCTGCAAGATCTGCCATACCTGTTCGGATACGTTCATGCTCTTCATTCCAGACCTGCGTGAAGGCGTGGGCCTGTGAAATAAATTCTGGTAGACGATTATTCGCGAGTGTGGACAAATGATCAAAAATCTCCGTCGTGGCTTTATAAATAGTTGCCACGGAATCTCGATGCGCAAGAACACTTTCTAAAATTGTTTCCATTTCGCTGCTGCGCTCTTGGATTTCGAGGACCACATCTTCAGCTTCTGCTGCATCCTTAGTAAGAACACCCAACATGTCTTCATAATCCGATTCCGTCATCGGATCAACGGTATCATTGAAGTTGGGATCAGGTCCATCCGCAGCGTCTTTCCCAAGGGAAACATTCAGACCCTGAGGCATATCACCTGTAATGGATCGCGCAGCAGCTCCACCACCTTCGGTATGTTTGACGGCCGTTACGCATCTATCAAAATGATGGACTAAGGATTCAAGCAGGTCTGCCATTTCCTGGGCATGGGATTCTAATGATCGAAGCATTGACGGTATGGTCGACAGTAGTGGCAATCCAGGATTAGATGCGCCAGGAGAGGACGTCGATAATGAGGATCGTGAGGAGGCGAGCTCCATTGTGTTTCGATACCTACCCAGAGCATGCTGTAAGGACCGCATTTCTTGATCGAATTTCGAGCTGGAGGTGTCAAGTTGGGATTGGGCAGTGTTAGTTCGGTCAATGGCGGCCTTTAGGACAATCTGCAGCTCCTCTACACCGCGTTCATCTACAAAGTCGTGGAGACTTTTTGCGGCTTCGCCATCTGGACGAAAAGAGAAATGAACAACTGTCTGTCGTAGCATATCAAGTGTCTGACGTAGACGTTCGTCGACTTGATCGAGCTCCTTCAGCACGCTGGCAAACTCGGCTCGTCCTCGGTGGGATATATTCTCTATCTCACCGCGCACATTATATAACAAACGAATTTGGTTCTTCTGCCCTCGTCTCAGGAATCCTGTTTTTGCAGATATTACAACGCTTTCTTCCAGGGCATTCCGAGCTGTGTTGACTATTTCATTCGCTCGAGAAACGTGATATATGGATGACAGAGACCTTTTCGCGGCAACTAGATACGAGATCAGGGTGTCCAATTGAGATTTGGGCTCCTCAGTCAATGCATGGGAGCTGTGGTTTGCATCTTTTGAGACATCCAAATCAACGGACTCCGGTCTAGGTTGGTGCGACGATGATGTCCTAGAGGCGACTGATTGCGACATTACGGGCAAGTAACCGAAAGCCGTTGCACAACTGTGTACACAGTGACACACAAGCACACAAAATCGTGTAATTCGGCAAATTGGCTCGTTGATGGTTCGGATTGCGAATCGAAAGACGGTTCGGTGCAATGGCACTCTCTAGAAACCCGCACGGCGATCAGCAAATCAATAGTACGTATCCAAGCATAGCATCTGTTGAAGATGAGTGCTCCGCTGGCGGATCCTTCGGCGTAAGAGCCTAGAAGGTACCCAGGCTAGTTATTGGTTAGAGTAAACTCGGTATACTCAACAAAGCCTTGGTCGGCAGGCCCGGAGTGCTTCGGCGCTAGAACAGTCTGCCTTTGTCATGATTCGGTTTTGCAGTTCCACAGACGGCGCGTAGACGAGAGATGACGGGAGTGGTGAAGAGAAGGACGAATACGAAAGAGGTCGCGACGAAGCTACCCAAGAAAGGCTAAGGCAGTCACGGGATAGATTGCGAGGCCAATCCGGGGAAGGCACGCTCGAGTGGGGTGCTTGGCCAAAAATAGCAAGCGCGAACCGATGGCGTGACTGGCCGGCGCCGCTGATTGGCCAGCTGCGATGAAAAGCGGTGACGGCTCTGCTATGGCGTGATTTGCCTGCCGCAAGGCTCCAGTCACGTGATCTAGCACGCTTTGCTGCGGCGATCACGCCAGACTTCCCGGCTCCGGCGACATTTATATCTATCCCATGCACTCCGTATTCCTGACAAATCTGCTGCATGTTCCCTCGTTTTCCAGACAGCTGGCCCCCCTGAATTCATTGGGTATATCTGGCGCCTTCGCTGTGCGGTTTCTATACTTAAATTTCCAAAGTTCCCGGCTTCTTCGCAGTCGCTTGCACAACTCCCACCTCCCACCTCCCACCGGCGCTCACAAGACACATCGTTAATTGCCCCTACGATCCGTTTCGACCTAAATACTCGCACATTCATTCTAAGCGCTTGGCTCTACTGCCTAGCATGCACCTTGAGGGCGCAGTATTGCAGGATGAGAAGAACCTCATAGTCGACTCGACACCCCGCAAGCAAAGGCCTTCGGGCGACGGCACCATGACTCCGTACAACGGCGTGCGGTCACTCTTCAACAATGCCGATTCCCATCAATCAAACGATGATTATGCCAGTCACGAGCAGGCCATTTCAAAAACCAAAATTGTCAACGAAAATATCGCTCCTTTCCTGGCCAAGCACATTCCAAGTCAATATGCCCCTCTGGGGAAAGATACCGGCACAACAGCAGGGTCGTCAACACATAACGTAAATTCTAGATACTGTTATCGTCACCGGCCTGATCTCAAGTGTCGCAGACAGGCGGACGAGTTGTCGATGGATCACCTGCAATGGGTATGTTTATAGCGGACTGAACCCCCCTCAAGACCGAACAGCATTACTGACAGAGAATAGGAATTGCAGTCTCTTCCACAGAGCGATCAGCAAGGGATCGCACACGTATGGTCTTTGTTCTCGGCGGCCCCTGCAAAGCAACGTGAACTTATGCTACGGGGCATCCTCGCTCAATGCTGTTTCCCTCAACTGTCTTTAATCTCAAGCAGCGTTCGAGATCTCATACGCATCGACTTCCTCACGGCATTGCCTCCTGAAATCTCTTTTAAAATCTTGAGCTACCTTGATACTGCTTCTCTCTGTCGCGCAGCTCAAGTTTCCCGAAGCTGGAGATGCCTGGCCGACGACGATGTTGTTTGGCATCGAATGTGTGAACAACATATCCATCGCAAATGTACAAAATGCGGGTGGGGTTTGCCATTGCTTGAGCGTAAGCGACTGCGTGCATCAAAGGAACAGATTGAAAAGCGCGCCCAGAGACCTACTGTCACCTCCGAGCCTCTTCCCACTGTTAAGAATGTCGTCGAACCAGTGGACGGAGCTTCTGGTGTCAAGCGTGGGGCCGATGAACCAGAATTATCCGATTCCGTGGTTGTCAAACGCCAACGCACGGAGGAGAATAACCCTGATTATTATAAGACTAATTTCAGGCCCTGGAAGGACGTCTACAAGGATCGTTTCAAGGTTGGAACCAACTGGAAGTATGGCCGATGCTCTGTCAAGGTATTCAAGGGGCACACGAATGGAGTAATGTGTCTGCAGTTCGAAGACAACATCCTCGCTACCGGCTCTTACGATACAACCATCAAAATCTGGGACATGGAGACTGGCGAGGAACTTCGCACTCTTAGCGGCCATACTTCTGGCATTCGCTGCTTACAATTTGATGACACAAAACTTATAAGTGGTAGCCGAGATTGCACTCTGAAGGTATGGAATTGGCGGACCGGGGAATGTATTTCTACCTATACCGGGCATCTTGGCGGTATCATAGGATTGCATTTCGAAAACAGTATCTTGGCCTCTGGGTCGATTGACCATACCGTCAAAATCTGGAATTTTGAGGATAAGTCTACGTTTCTTTTACGAGGCCATTCCGACTGGGTCAATGCGGTTCGCGTTGACTGTGCATCGCGGACAGTATTTTCGGCGTCTGATGACTGTACCGTCAAGCTGTGGGACCTTGACTCGAAAAACTGTATTCGCACTCTTGAAGGACATGTGGGCCCAGTACAGCAAGTTGTCCCTTTACCAAAAGAGTTCGAATTCGAAGACGAACACGAGCATTTTGAGGACGACAGCAGCACCTCCACAGCTGGTGACGAGTCACCCCTTATTCAAAGATGCCGTACACCAAGTCCCTCATTTTTTGAAGGTGATCGTCCCGCGCCTCCGCGGTATATACTTACTAGTGCGCTTGACAACACCATTCGTCTCTGGGAAACTCAATCTGGACGCTGCCTTCGCACTTTCTTCGGGCATTTAGAGGGTGTCTGGGCATTGTCTGCCGATACATTGCGCATTGTATCTGGTGCCGAGGATCGAATGGTGAAGATATGGGATCCAAGGACCGGCAAATGTGAACGCACTTTTACTGGCCATTCCGGGCCTGTCACGTGCGTCGGTCTAGGAGACAGCTGCTTTGTGACAGGAAGTGAAGACTGTGACGTGCGAATCTACAGTTTCAAGAACTAACTTTTGTCGCTATGAACATTTTCGTGTATTGGGCTGGGCTCTACTTACATGAACGTTTTTTTTTTTTTTTTTTTTATTTCTTTTCTCTCACAGCCCTTATAATGGGTTTGTTTATACCCCTGTTAATTTCGCAAAGGTCCGGCGCATGTACTTTTTTTTCCCTCTTCTCGCGCTTTATGTATGGGGCTAGTACTTTTCAAAGCACAGCATGATTTACCGATTGGACTGGAGGCGTTTTATACTGTTGTATTGGATATACTGGGAGGGCATCGGTTTATGTATGGACACTTGGTATATGGTTAAAAGCAAAGTGATATTCAAACTTCACTTTTCTGTCATTAGGGTCTCCTTTAACACTGGCAAAAAGCGAATACGTGGTGTCTAGTATGAATAATATATTTGAACGTTCAACCCAAACAAGAACAGCCTTTTGATCATTTCCATATACTAGTCCGGGTAAGAATTAGATGATATGGGAAGGAACCTCCCATATAGAACATCACCCTTGATATGCGAATATCATTTAAGAACACACAGGCCGAGGAAGTAATCAACTACCGGCCCTACTATTCATGAACAATTTGCCCCATCCACTGCGGTTTTTTCCCCTCAAATGATTCGAGCTTTGGTGCCGGGATAACATCGATGTCAAACAATGATGCTTTCAGCCACGCCGAGTCTGGTTCCGAGGCAGTGATGGACATAATCGGACTAAAGTGAAGGTTCGAAGTAGTATGTGAGTAAGATAGATAATTTAAGGATTTACACATGTAATGCCCCAAATGAGCCAGGGAAATCATAGAGAAGGTGCGTAGTTTACCTTCCGCATGTACCACAAAATTGTCGCTATAGATGGTTATTAGATAAGAGGAAATGGACTGGGTGTTTAACCCTAAGAATGCTTGAACAAAAAGGCTAGAATTGAAATCACTCTAGTGAGATGGGGAGAACCTCACCTCCATGGGCTTTCCCGAGGTCGTATTTTTGTCTGAATACTTGCGCAAAACGGCTGAATGATCATGTAAAGTGATAGTAGACATGCTGAGAAAAAAGTTGACCGATGATACTACATGTTCATATGATTGATTAACAGTGAACTTTTGAGCAGACTAAGGGAAATTTCATTTGCTTTTTGGATTTTAAATTAAGGAATCAACCTACAGCCGCCTGACCGTCGACAATTGTCACTGTAACGAATTAGGAGTTAGCCCCGATTCCAAAGGACCTTGAAAATGGAATAAAAAGGAAAATACTTGCCAGTAGCAGAGGATAGACGCATCGGGTGTCTCATTGAGGACAACTCGAATATTCCCGCAGTTACAATGCCCTTCGACTGTCATGGTACCAAAGAAATATCAAAAATGAAGTTACCCTGGAGAAGATGCAAAAACAAGAGAATAAAAGTAGACAGTGTGTCTAGGCAGATCTTAGTATTCTTGTTCTTGCAGATGGAACTAAAGGCTATTTTGAGATGAGCTCGGAGAGGAAGATACGCCCCGGCATCGATATATATGTACAGAATGAGATTTATTGTTCACCAGTGGGTCAGTTTGTACTTGAATTACTAATGAAATCCTTCAAATAGCTGTTGTACTCATCAGAATCTGAGATTTCCATGGTACCTTGGGTCCATATGAACAAATCATACTGCTCCGTTGAAGGGCTGTTCCCGGAGCCCCGGAGTTCTGAACTATGCACAGCGTTTGTCAGTATAGCGACCCCCTTTCTGAAACCAACACAGTCATAGTCCTGTAAGCAGAACCATAAAAGGGGGGACTAGCAAGCAGGATGCAAAAGCATGTGGCTTGATGGGGTTACCCAGATTGATCTATGTAGTAGAATTGTGGCCAAAAGATGCAGAGAATGTAGGGCTAAAGTCAACTCCGGTTACTCCTTTAGGAAATTCCCCCAGAATTCCGGCACTCCAACGCTGGCTATTGATCGATTGAAGCATGCCTTTCCACTTCTAAATATGATCCTGCTAATCCTTATCCCTCAGAAGCGAAGACTTTCGGCAGATCACTTGTGTTACTGTTTTGATACCTGCCTATAAAGCTCTCGGTTTTCCCCCCAACCCTCCTGACTCACTGCAAATCACTCGCACATCAAAAAGTTGAAGTAATCATCAAAATCAAAAAATACATTCAAGATGAGCCTGCCAAAGACTTTTAGACAAGCTGTTTTCAAAGAAGCTGGTGGCCCGTTAGTCCTTGAAGAGGCAAGCCTCACGCTTCCTGGAGAGGGAGAGATCTTGGTCAAAGTCGAGGCGTGTGGTGTTTGCTTCTCGGATACTTTTGCGCAGCTAAATAGAGCTAACATGTATGGAAAACCCTGATGTTGCATTTTGTTTTGTGTCTGGCGCTGATATTTCTAGGCCGCTGGTCCCTGGCCATGAGATAGTTGGGAAAGTTGCTGCTGTGGGCAACGGCGTTTCAGGATGGGCTGTTGGCGATCGAATTGGTGGTGGCTGGCACGGAGGACATGATGGTATGATCTTTAAAACTACGTGTTACATATTTCAAGTCAGGTAAAAGACAAACTAATGTCTTCTTTAGGCACATGCAAAGCCTGCAGAACTGGATGGTATCAAATGTGCGATAACCAGGTCATAAACGGTTTAACGAAAAGCGGCGGATGTATGCCATGTTTCTTTTTTCCCATCTCCCAAACCATTTTCTACATGAATTACTTTAGCAGACACTGATTCCAATTTCCTATAACAGATGCAGAATATTGCACCCTCCGCGCTGAGTCTGCTGTACGAGTCCCATCAGATGTCAATGCGGCGGTGTATGCGCCTATGCTATGTGCAGGCGTTACAGTCTTCAACTCAATGCGCCAGATGAACCTCACTCCGGGTTCAACAGTTGCTATCCAAGGTCTAGGAGGACTTGGCCATCTTGCGATTCAATTTGCCAATAAATTCGGATTTCGTGTCGTGGCTGTGTCACGGGATAGCAAGAAGGAGGAGTTTGCTCGACAGCTCGGTGCCCACGAGTATATCGATACCAGCAAGGAAGATGTCAGTGACGCTCTGCAGAAACTAGGCGGTGCTGCACTGATCGTTTCGACGGCACCAGACAAGGAGGTTGTCACACCGTTGTTGAAGGGACTGGGAACACTGGGAAAGCTGCTAGTTCTGTCAGGTAAGCAGACTTTTGGCAAAATCATCGAGAATTATTGCTCTAACCATCTTGCGAACATAGTCATCGGCGATTTTGCCATAAATACAGGTGTTCTGGTAAGTTAATTTCTCGATAACCCCTCCCCCCTTCTAAAAAACCACTGATAAGGCCAAGACTAAGAGTATTGCAGATGCGATACGGAACTTCAGTCCACTCCTGGCCATGTGGCCATGCAACCGATTCAGAAGAGGCAATCGAATTTTCTAGACTGCAAGGTATCGATTGTATGGTCGAGACCTTTCCATTGGAGAGAGCCAATGATGCTTATGGTAAGGATTCCCCAACACAATTGTTTCGATGTTTCGATGCTAACGCGCTTGTAGACGCTATGTTGAAAGGAAGTGTTCGGTTTCGGTCTGTGTTGGTGATGGAATAGACATAGTTAGGGGCTTCATATATGGAAAGCGTTCATGTACATGTTTACTATACTTCGGTCTGGTCTACAAAATTCAAGTTTATACAGTGAGAAGGCATATATTTTGAGTGGTAAAAAGTACCTTTCTAGGGTATAGGAGTGGGACGGGAAGTATTGTAAGTCGATATTTATTTACAATTGAGGGAATGTCCAGGCGGCTGGGTTTGCATCCGGTGCGTAGAACTGTTCGAAGCCAACGAGCGAGTCGAATGAAAATCCCAAGTCCGTGGTACCCGATATTGGGAAGCTTTCTAGTGCCATAATATCTCTGGACTGTTCTGATGAATCCATGTCATCGATGCTCATTATCCCTGGGTACCAAGGTATCATATCTGGACTGTCGGACGGCTGCATGGACAAGTTCGCGGACCGGGCGTTCTCACGCTCCATAAGATAATCAGCTTTGGCCACGAGATTCCTAGTCACATTAGCTGCACTAGCTCCGACCGCGAAATGATTGCCGAACTTCTCAAACACAGTGATGGCGCTATTGATTGTGTCGCGGGCTTCGATAGCCAACGGCGACAAAGGGTACGCTAGCACGAAGCCAATCAGAGACACGGTTGCATTCCACTGCCAATGAAATGTCTCATGTATACCACTGAGGATTTCGGAACTTGTCAGGATTTGATGCATGATGCGCGTTATAGTAATGGCGTGGTTAACGCAGGAGTTCGCATGACTTTCAGCGATGGGAGTGGAAGAACGTGGTTGTGACGACGTGGAATTGCCCGATGCAGTAGGAAATGTCGATGGAAAGCAGATAAATGGACGGTATAAGTTCATGGACAGATTGTGGTGGATAAGCTCAAGCATGAGACGCTGTCGCTGGAGCCAAAGTGGAGCATATAACTCGACACTGAGCTTTGTCCGCTCAGTCGAAAGCGGAGTGCCGCCATCTTTTCGCTTAGTCTTCATCCCATCTGGCACTTGGTCCCTCCAATTTTGGATAATGTCCATCTGTGATCTCAAAAACTCTGCACAGACCTCCATGGTTTGTGGGTCCTTGTAAAGACTGCTTCCAGAGTTGGCAGACGCAATGTCTGCACACTTGTCGGAGAATGCGATATATACAGAGCGAGTAGCAAGGACCATCTTTGTCATTTGGAGAGTGTACGTCAGCCAAGTGAGATTCTCACCGTAAGAAGCGAAATTAGAACCGGAAATCAAGGCCAGCTCACGGTCATCTGCCGGCAGTTGACATGTAATCATTAAGAATGGGGCACACCATGGGCGGCCAAGCTTCATACAGTTCTTGCATTCCAAACTGAACAAAGTCCACCACAACCGCTTGCGCAACTCTCTTCGCTCCCTTGGCATATCTTCTGGAGGCTCGAGATGCAAACCAAGCAAATGGGCTGTCCGCACAGCAACAGCTAAGCAATTATAAGCCATATTCTGGTAGGAGGCATTACATAGATATAGGACAGTGAATATATGACACTGCAGAGTCATTATAGATGGGTTTTCAAGCTGGGAATTCAAAAGCATCTGTGAGCGGCGATAATACCACCTCCCGGCAATAGTTGCATCACTGCCATCTACAACAGTCTTATGTTCCGAGTTGTCATTCTCCCGAGGAAGAAATGCGAGCCCATATTGCATACACACAGCAAGAATGATATCAACCAGGGCAGAAGGCTTTCGTGAGGAGGAAGAGGTCTTCCACAACGACCGGTAGTGCTCACGGAACTCGCCTTCGTCTAGAATTTGCAATGTACAGTGATAGGATTCCCAGAATAGATTCAGAAAGTAATCCTCTTGCATCCCAGTCAAAAAACTTCCCGATGTTCCAATATCTGCGGAGAGGTTGCTTTCCTCAGGGACAGATCCGGCTGGTTTGGATGATGTTGGGCTGATGAATGTTTTGCTGGCGGTATTGGGCTGAATGTAATCATCCAAGTACGGTTGCTCCAGGGCGATGGCGAGGTATGTTCTCAGACGAGCAGTATAGTAGTAATTTGATAGTAAGCCATACCACTGGTTCTGTTGTGAATGACTTGCATTGGTATAAGTGCCCTCAAAGAGTTTCTGCCCTGTTTCCCCGCCGGGTCGAGAGCTGGCTATCTCTGACGAGGGGGACCTTGATACGGGGGCTGCATTGTTGGCAAGCTGCTCTTCAAGCTCCTTGATACGTCCTTCTAGGCGCTCGATTTCTCTGACGGCGCTTGGAAGCGTCCTTGTTTTGCTCAGTTCTCTTCTGTTACAGCGGCTTTGCCGACTCTGGCAATTTCGACACGGATAGTTGTTGTCGCACTTCACCCTATGAACTCGACACCAGTCACATGCTTTCGACACTTGAGCACGTTTGTGGTTGGCCGGTGAAGACCTGGGAGACTTGAGAGAAAACGTTGCTAGCATTGTTTGAGGGTGAGTGGTGGAAGTCGACGTTATCAACCAGCGGGTCTTGCTGTACGGTAGCTCTATTTCTAAGTGGGCCTTTCAATGGCAGAAACTCTCTCACCGCCTTTTAGGGCTGCCTTATAGTGACGATCCGCTAGCAGAAATCTAGTCAAAGCCTTATATCGCTATAATATACTTCCCCAGAAAGAATATTGTCAGAGGTATGGCTAAATGCTTGGTATTTATTTCAATGCACACATTTAGCTAAGATGCATGCTGTGTCAGTCTCAGCTTAAACTATTGTGCACATGAAAGCACTAAGCTCAGCATCGTTCAATAGTTCCGTAGTTCCATGCTGTGAGTGTTGCGCGAAAACTGCATGTCCTTGCTTGATACAATAAAGAAACCTGTTCTGTGACAGGCATATGGCTGAATGAAAAATAAAGACCAGGCTATACTGTTTGACCAGAAGCTTACAGTCACTTTTCTTCCCTGGTTTTACCCTCCCCACTCCCCTCTTCTTCCCCTCTTCCTCCTTCACAACTCCAACAATTCATAGTAGAGACTCACCCCTCAAAGACATCCAGTGATAGTTGGCTATTGAAAAAAGGGTACATTATTTCTCCAACTCTTGAAAGTTCGAAAACACATCTAAAACATTCTACTCTTAACAGCTTAAACACTCTCCTCCAAAATTCGACAAAAGGACGAAGAGACGCAATGCCGTCCATCACATGCGAGAAATGCTTCCATAAGCAATCCCAAGAGACAACAAGTGAAGCTGTCATAGCTAGCTTGATGACCCTGAACGCCTACCTTCTAGCCATCTTAAACGACCTCGAAATCCAGTACGGCACCATCCGTAGCCGGGAAGTTGGGATTATTGTTTGCGTGCTGGGAGCAGGTGCCATACTGGGCATGCTTGGAATGGGCTTCTGGATGCTCTGTCTTATCCTGCCATGGACGCTTGGCTGCTGGCAGTTCTGGAAGTGTGTCAGGTGCCTTTTTGAAGGCCTTGTGTACAAGTTGGTGGATTCTCCTGAACTTGAAAAAGCCAAGATGGCCGATTTGGAGGGTTCTGGATATCGAGTGAAGCAGATGTGAGGGTGGATGATTTGCTGTGGTTTGATCAATCTACACAATGGTAGCCAATTTCAACTTGCATTTATCCTGTGACTTTTAGATACCAAGGCATGTTGCTATGTTGATTTCACCTATCTGTCCAATTGGGTTATAGCCTACAAATGAACTTTAGAACCCCCTTCATAACTCGTCAAAAATACTGAAATAGTAGCATAGGCATTCACAACGTGCTTACAAGACAAAGACTGATGGATGCTTCCAGCAAGTTGTGTTCAGACAGTGAGCTTCTCACGATCCTTCCACACTTACACATGCCATTCATTCACTAAAGTTTCTAACCTCAACAGTCCTCAATATCTCCCCTTCAGTCATTCAATCAAAATGACTTTTCCCAAAGGAATGCGTACAGCCCTTTCCAAAGACCCTCCACAACTCAATGACGTGGCTACAAGCCCACCGAAGATGAGATTTCGACGTGCAGCACGCGATGCAAGGATATACGAATGGGTCCAAACTAATCCTACTCCTCGTCCTCGTCCTGTTCCTCCTTCTTTATTTGCTTCTCATTCCAACACACAGACGACCCCGGCCTCTGCTAGCCACAAAGCCAACACTACATCATTCCTACAAAAAGCAGTGGCAGCAGCAGACAAACACCCGCACGCAAAAGAGACAGACCAAGCTAAGAGTCTCAACAAACTAAGCAAAGCCGTAAAGGGCGACGACGTTGACAACTGCAGTGACAGCAGCGAAAGCAGCCGCAGGGGCTTCCTCAAATCCATCGACTGCTGGAACGATATCAACGAAAAGGGAGAAGGAGAAACTCCTCAAGACGCCGCGGTGATGGTGAACAAATCGACCTTCTCATCTACAGGCGCTTTGGAGGATATCCTGGTACTGATTTTGTGCGCGTTGCACTGGCTTACTCTCACGATTATGGTGTGCATACTGAGCGGGCTTGTGATTGTAGCAAGGACGGGATACAGGGTGGGATTGCGCGAGGATCGTGTTTGACTTCTTTTTACTATTCAATAACCAAAGGCACACTCGAGAAAGTATAATGGGTGAAGTCGAAATAAGCTTCGGATCGATCCCCATGATTATGGATAAACACGTGAAGCATATCTGAGATCCGAGCTAAAATTAGGAATCAATTCCACCCTCGATTAGAAAATGATGTAATCCCCAAGCTCGTAGATAGTTAAACTAACCATATACATTAAGTGATTGACAATATAGTTTGTCGTTTGTGGAAAGATCGTTTTGGATGTACACGCGTCCTCCTCGGGAATCAGATTTATTATGGAGCGAAGGGAAGCAAGGGCCTCGTGTTGATCAAGTCTGTGCAGCCACGCGATTCTGGTCCCTGGCTCAAGGCCATTATGATTTGGGCCAACCCAGGAACTGCGTAATAACCAGAGTGAGAGACGTCACTAAGCCTGGGACATCAGTATACGCGGGGAAACGTCGAAAAAAAAAAAAGGTAAATATATAATTCATGTTTATCCTTCCACATGTGAACGTCGTACACCACCTAGATATCTCGATCCAGGTCCATCGCCAGATTAAACTATATACAAAATGAAAATCAACGACAATTATAATATGTAGGAAATATGTAGGTCAAAAGGAAACAAATCTTGTGCTATGCAAGATGAGGATGAAAAAAAGGGAACCGCCTCAAACAACAGTCAACAGTGATGCGAGATGAATCGAGAAACAAGAATTGAGAATATGGTAATAAAAGAGAAGTGAAATAATACACCCGTGTACTCCATTGCGACCAAAATTGTTCCGAGATATTCCCAAAGCGCCAACAGCCCCCTAAGAAAAGAGAAAGGGGAGGGAAAGAAGAATAAAGAAAAACCGGCCATGCACTGAATTGAATCGAATCGAATTACGTATGTGGATGATGAAATATGTTCATGCTTTATCTTCAACGAGGTGTTTCACACCTTCTCGGCTCTTTCGTACAAAAAATCGCGATGCCACCGGCGTGGGAGAAGGAGAGGATGAAAATGAAGGAGAGGAGGCTGCCGACGATGACGGACTTGTGGTCGCGTCCCAGATCCTTTCAGGATTCATTGGGTCGATGAGACTGTGTCGAGGGCAGACGTTATCGTTTGCATAGTTGAAGTAACGTTCCATGATGTCGGTCTTGTGCAGGTAAACTTGCGGGCCGTATGAAAAATGAGAGACAATGGACTGCGATTCGACGAGGACAGCTGTATTGAAAGTTAGCAAGACCGAATGTTTTCGTAATCAAACTAAAGATTATAAAGGCAACCCACGTCTTTGAAGTACATGTGGCATCTCGACAGTCAACTGATGCTCGTCATCACCGTGTGGATGGCCGGTAATCATGTGCATGTAGTCAAGTACGTCTGCACCTTGCATGACGATAAAGTTGATGCTTAGTCGTCTACCACGCATATGCCAGATTGTGCCCTTGCCGTAGTCCTTGGACAAGAAATACTTGCCCAACTCGCCGTTTTCGAGGTTGCTGAAGAAAGAGTAATGATTCTGAGCACCAATTTGCCAGTTGGTTAGATGAGGGCCGCCATTAGCATCCGTAGCAGCAATGCTCGACGTATACATGTCCTCATCCGTCTCGTTCCGAGTGGGCAGCCAGCGATGCTTGGGGATATCCTCTGGGGATTCGACATCGAAAAAGTTGGCGAAATTCTCAAACTTAGAGTAGTCGTGAGTCCAGTCACCGGTCCAGGTTGGGAGATCGGAATTCTTCCACATTCCATTCCCGCGTGTAGCAAGTGCGGTCTGGTTTGGTTGCAGTTCAGGTTTGAACGACTGAGCGGCGTCGGTATGGTAGTGCCACCAGCCCAGTGCAGGGCTATTGATGACATTAGCGGAAATCATTAATGCATGCGGATTACTGATTAAAGTGGTGACGGCCTTGGCAATAGCTTGTGGTTCGATATACACAACATCGTCATCAATCTTGACATAAATCGCGTTTCGCTCGGTGAACGAGGCCTCATAAACGTTGCCATATCCCTTCTCTTCCATGCGCACAACCTTGTATTCGCCATTTGAGGCGTTGGCCACGCGGTTGAGCCAAGCGAGGTCGTCTACATCGTCAGTGTTGGCCGCCCAAATGACCTCGTCCAGCCAGCCGCCGCTCGAGACTAGATTCTGACGCAGATAACATTCAAGGATCGACGAACGATCACGGCGGCCATAGAAAATGACTCCCACAACCCTCAGACCCTTGGGTTTCTGTGTGGTCGAGAGAGTCGAGACTAGATCTTCTCCGGAGGAAGATTTTCCGGTCGACGGAGGCTGTTTAGGCCGGGGGAGTGATGGGAGCGCAGGAAGTGATTCTAGATTGCTCTTGGAATTCGGAGAGACCACAATATGAGCATCAAGATCTCTGGGTGGCGGACCAGGTTGTCCCGGTTTCCAGAACGGCGGCTCTTCGATATAGACGTAGGCCAGAGAGAAGACGAAGAGGGTCACAACAGTCACGGTGGCGAAATATGCCAGACGGTTCACTCGCCATTGAAAAGGTTGCCTGGTATATGTCCAGCTGGGTAAGGAGTATTTGGCGTTCATTTTGATGTGTGTTATTCCTTCGACCCAAGCTCGATTGGGATCCCTCCTTTAGACGGCACTGGGTCCCTCTGCCCTCAATCTCTTCCAAGGAGTACCAATGGCACGTGTCGAAATAGGAACAGAGGACAGAGCAGGTGGTGAGGGATGAGGGGTTGGTGGCTGAAAATAGATCAAGAAGAAAGACAGAAAAAGGAGGAGAACGAGTACATTCGAAAAGGCAAAGCTAGCGAGCCATGTCTTTGATGAGGAAGGCCGGCTAGTGCGAAGACGTTCTTGTCGTCGACCCGCAGCGTAGTTAGGCTTTGGTGTTAATAATCAATTTAGCCTCAAAATGGTGGACGTCTTCGTATCCAGCCGGACTCTGCCACTCTCGCTCTCACTGCCACTGCTAAGCCTAAGCAGCACCACGGTAGTACCGGTACTTAGCTGGCTCTCGGAGCTGACTGCGCAGGATGACTGAAGTGGCAGGCCAGACTTCCGGAAGCAGAACGGAGACGAGCTCAGCACAAAAGGAGGGCAGGAAAAAAATCACACGGAACACAGCCAATAGGAGCGTGCAATACAGAGCCCGCGCCAGACCGGATGGGGCATAGCGTCCGGGAGCAAATTGGTGCTGAAAGAACCGCCCCGTTTTTGTTGCCTCAAAGAGGTCCTGGCAGCCAATGGGAGGGCTGTCTTTCCCTTGCGCAGATCTAATCGAGGATAGCGAGTCTGGCGCGGTGGGCCCACGTTGCACTTTGGGTGTGGTTGCTCCCACCGCGCTAGGCTGTTTTCGAGAGTCCCAGATCAATAGCCTCAATACGCGAATTTTCGGAGTCTGTACGGAGTACCCCGTATTGGCACGCTCTGCTCCTTATGCGGACACAGACAGCATACAGACTATGGTACTCCGTGCAAATAGAAATATGCTATACTGGTAGTCTGGTAGTATCGCAAACACCGGGAGATGCAACGTTCCACACAAACTTCCTTCTACCAGTTAAGCCGCTTTTCAGCCTCTGCAGCTTGGCGCTCGCTGAACGTGGCAGTAGAACCGACGATCAGAGCGTGTATTTATTACGGTATTGCATACCGTGATTCTGGCATTCAGCCCTTTGGATACGTCTATTATCTAGCGGTTATACGTATTATGCGTACCCGGGATGTAAATTACCAAATCACCAAGAAAAAATCAGGACTGTGAAGATCATCAGAACAGAGTCGAGGACAGATTTATAATATGCAATCCATCCAATGTCAACAAGTAATCATACATAGTTAGTTACTGTACACCAGTCATCATTTGCAACGCATGCCACCCAGAATCCAGAACCCAGAACCCAGAACCCAAACACCGAGACATCAAATTATACTCCAAGACTCAGTCAGTAGCGCATGCGGACCTCCCTCGGCATACACAATGCGTACAGCTCATCGACATACGTCGTGCCGAAGCGGGCTAGACCCCCCTCGATGATCGTCTTTCGCTCGGCGCCTGCCAGCGACACCGTCGAATAGGTCACGTGTTCCGCCTCCGTGATGGGCTGCGACGCAGATGTGTGTATTGACGACGTGCGCTTTACCGGCATATTCGACAATTCGACATCGTCCAGGCGCGCCACGTCTACTGTCACTTCTTTGCTGACGAGAATCTCCCTAAGGAATGGATTGAAGGAGTTCTTTTTCGTTGTGGGAGACGCTGCAGACAGTTCGGACGTTTGTTCTTGCTGCTGCTGCTGCTCTTGCGCCTGCGACTGCGACTGCCTTGTATGTACAAGGGATTCCTGCGAAATAGCATGCCGGACGTGGCCGGGTGCTTGAGTTTTTCTGGTCGTTCCGCTTTGAAAACGACTCCATAACTTGCTTTGAAAAATACCCATCGTCTTTGTCCTCTTGGCTTCGTCCTGCGGGTTGGCTATTGACTGTGCCGAGTACGATGCAAATTCGGCATTTAGCTCGCGGATGAAGCGTTCGCGCTCTGCTATTTTGTCGTTTACTTGCTCCTGGGTCCGAAACAGTCGAAGCGGGGTGAAAGTGAGGTTTGGGTCTGAAACTCGAATGTCCAATGTAGAGACAACTCGGAAACAGATCAGGGTACATTGTTCCGGGTCGGATGGTGACTGTCTGTGACAGGGTGCAAGGAGCGGCTTTGAGGAGAACCGTACAGCGGATGCGATATTCTCGGGCAGAATCGTCATCAGTTCAAGCATGGCTCGGTACAAGTGCGTGGGGAATGACTCGTCTGCAACCGCTGTTGTAGCACTGTCAAGACTGCTCATGCTATCATTGCTGCCAATCGTGCTCTTCACGGACACCAATTGCTTTAGACATGTTGTCAGGCCGCATTCGTCCATCGAATCGAGCAGTTTCAAATCGCTCTTGCTGAGAGAAGAGACCGGGAGCGTAGAACTAGGCAACGTAATCTCGCTGCCCATCTGAGTGAGGACCTCGAAGTGCTCTTGTACTGTGGGACGCATGGCAAACGTGACGAGATGAACTCCTGGCGGGTAGCCCCTTTCGGTGCAAGCGTATGCTCGCATGTCGTAAAGATGGACAGACAGTTCCGTTGGTGGCAAATGGAGGCGACGTGATAGGACATCAGTAACACGCTCTATCGGGGCAAAACTAAACCCGTTTGCCATAAACCGTGATGCTTCGTGGTCATTCAATTGACGAACGGTAAACATGAGCTGTCCCTTTCCAATTTTAGGCATAGATCTCGACCCCAGCTCGAACCTCGAGACTTGCGTAACGGTCGATAAGACTTCGTGGTAGAGCTCCCCGAGGCCCGAGAGTGGTTGGCGCAATTCATCAGCGAGACTCTGAGCTGATATGCAAAAGAAATGCTTGAAAACTGTTTCGAAATTGAATTCGGAATCTTGCTCGGCGTCGGTTACCAAGCCATGCTGATTGATCAGTCGTTTGATTTGGGTATCATTATTCTGCAGAGTGCCCTTCATAGATGGGATAATGCCCTTGATCAAATTCCAGCTTCGTGAGGCACGAAACGCCCATAAGAAAGCGGGATGAGTACGGCTAAAGTCGTCGTCTTTCATGGACTAAAAAGTTTCTTACATCAGCTACCTGAGAAAGATCGGTTTCACACCGAGCAAACATACCCTGTTGAGATACCGATCTACCACTTTGCGCGTTGGGAGGAAGATTTGCGGTGATACCATGATACGTCCTGAGGAATCGAAGAACGCGCATGACAAGACTAATTGCCGGGCTCGAGTAGTTGATCGACGTCGATTACCTCCGGCTATGATGGCGCAAATTGAGAGAATGAAACAGGCCGAGAAAGACTATTGGTTACAGTCAGGTCAGCCTTTTCTTAAAACCCAGACGATTGTTGTGAAGAAAAGCCTACCAACGCGGCGCAAATAATGACAGTCTGGCTTCGAGACAATTGTCCTAATCCAGACACACCAGGAATACGGCGGTAACTGGTACCAACAGTAGCTGTCCAATGCATGCCTGAAACTGCTATACTTAAAAGACCCGCACAAAGCATTCGACGCCACCAACTGTTGGTCCAGGAAGCTTTCCATCTGAAGAAAACGCTCAGGGCAATGGTGGCAGCGACAGTTGCTATGAGAGCAGCACCGACAATGTTCCCCGCCGCATACGAACAATGATAGTTGGAAATTCCGAGCTGTCCGATCTACAGGTTTTTTTTTTTTCTTGTTAGAAACGAAGCAAGACCAGCCCGCGCTTCAGATGGGAATAATGACAGGCTACTTACATAGTGCATGGCGCAAACAGCCGCTCCGGTCAGAAAACCACCTGATAAAAGACGTACAGCCCCGGGTTTCTCTTCAAAGGAAATGGCATAAAATGCAGTCGAAAGTACAATAATTGGCAAAACCAAGGAGACCATTGTAAAGGGGATGTTGTACGATATTTGGTCTGCATCGGAGCCGTCTCCGAGAAGAATTGCTCGGTTTCCGATGAAATGCATACTCCAGATACCAATTCCTCCCATACTAAGCGACGAAGTCAAAAGCAAGTACCTAATGAAAGATAGGGCTCTTGGTTAGAAACAAAGAGTGGCGCAAGGCAAAAACGAAAGGTGGGAAGAATCAAAACAAACCAATTGAACAAGCCAGATCGTGAAGATCTACGGTGCAGCAATTCGAGGCAGGTGATTGAGCCCGTGGCACTGACAACGTATGATAGGGCTATGTAGCCGCCAGAATACCTCACAGGTATTGGCACGAGGCCATCAAGCATTGCCTGCGTTAGCCCGGTCATTATGATTACCTTGTTTCACGGCAGATAGCCGTCTCGATAGGGGGGAAGGGGGAAACGCAAGGCTTTCAGGACATTGACATCAAGATAGTATGTGAAAACACCTCAGGGACAACCGCTGATCATTATAAGTCATGTACACTGCGACGGTGACAGGACTTAAAAAGCCATCGGAGAATAATGATAAGACTTTCTTTTCTTTTTTCGAGGGAGCAATGCAACTCAGAACTTTAAAAAAGGAACATGAAAAAAAAAAGTTGGAATTGGATCGATCTATCTACGCGGCAGATGAGATCTGTCATGGGCGTGGCACTGTTTAGCTTCGAGGAGCAGAAAATTTACTAGAGCTTAGTGGGCTTTGGCATGATATGGGCTTGTCCACCGAGACGGAAAAGCAAAGAACGAATCAGGATTGCTATTTTACTTGCTAGTCGAGCAAATCGGGGTAGTCGGCAACTGAGCCAGATCAGTGATCGCACTCCATGGTCAGGCCTCAGCCCAGTTGGAGAGGGAAAGGTGGAGCTTCGAAGCAGAAGGCATAGATAGGTTCATAACATCATGCAGGGCTAGGCTAGGCCTAGGGTTTGATTAGAGGAAGAGGAACTAAAAGACTAAAAGGCCAGCAACAACCTTTGAGCTCCGAAAGCTCCAGATTATTACCTACTACCGAGGTATGTGCACCGTACTAGACTGCGTACTAGGCTGGAGTTACTAGGCTCTGCGATCTGTTTCAGTCAGCCACATCGACTCGATCAATCAGTTAGATTAACCCACAAGTAATTGCCAAGCACAGTGCCACATGCATGCGCATGCAAGAATGCGGAATGCAACGCGTTCAATCCGTTATTCCCGCCATTCATTTTAGAGCGATATACGTACTTGTCCATGTACATACATTGCGTACACACTTTGTGCCTGCGTCTGGCCAAACCGATACAGCAATGAATGTATCATGCCGCCATAACAATGGCACGTAACTAAATACTGAGATACTCTGTAAGGCTCAGTGGATACAGCAAGATCTATATAGCATCTCGGAAATACAACGTGCAGTGGAGACGCAAAAGCCACATGGCCGGTGGGAAAAAAAAAATTCGACTCATATTGATAATTAAATTTATGATCGTGTGCAAAGTTTACTTTTAATATATTCCATCCATGGATCTGCCCTTCCACCCCAAAATTTTAATCTATCACTTACCGAAGTACGGTACTTAGTTAGTTAACTAACTTACAGTGCTTACACTAGGCTACCTACCTAGGTTACACTCGCACTCCGGCAGCCCCGACGCTATTTGATAACTAATGCACAGGGGAAAAAATGCAAAGAGAGGAGAGGAACCAAGAGTTTTGTTATTGTGCTAGTTTCGTTTGGCACCGAGTATCTAGATACAACCAAGATAATGGCAATGTGTATATCTGGACGAAGTTTTCTCGTTGTCGATTCGATCGATTGTCGGTGCAGTGTGCACTATCCAAAACGGAGTTTTTAGCCGATTAGCTAGGATAGGTTCTATAGGGCTATGTACTTGCCATGCATGCGATATGTCAATCAAGGGGTATCATTCATTCATGACATGTCTATTCCTTGCGTTAAAAGACTCGTAGAATTGAGGTTCTTTTTCATTATTCGGGTTGGCCTTTGTTCCAGAAAGACAAACAAAACTAAACAGCCCTATATTAGATAAGCATTTGGTCAATTCATTCTAACTAGCGTATTTCCCGAGTAAACCGGCCACTCGGGACCCACATTATTTTATCAACCCTTATAAAATGTATATAAAAACAAAAAAGTATAGATTTTACTAGCTAGGAGGATTGGGGCACCTATTACGTTTATGCCCTGGTTGCCAGCAATTGCTACATCTAGGAGGTGCGTGCTGAAGTGCCTGTAAAGCCTCATTTTGATTGGCCGGCAGTGGGGGTTCAACAACTTGATTAAGTGACTGTGCCAGCTCTCTGCCTTTGGAAACTGTCAAAATACTCTTATTGAGAAGAGCTCTTATACGTCTATCATGGTGTTTCTGTATTTGATTAAGCGAATCGTGTAAATCATGATTTTCCTTAGTAAGAATAGCAGCGTTATGTATTGTTGTTAAGGAGCCCTTGATTAGTTGATTAAGCGCCTGAGCTGACGGCGAAGAGGGACTTAAATTAGATATAGAAAGAAGTTTTTTGATAGAGGTAGCCTCATCCTCGGCGTTCTAGAGAGAGTAACCAATCCCGGAGCGAGGCCTCCTCAGTAAGAGTTAATTTTCTGTGTTTTATACTAGCCTATTAGTGTTCAATTGAGCCTTGCTGTCGTTCCGTTAACGTTGACCTACTGATGTCAAAAAGACGTGCAGCTTCGCGCACACTATCGATTTGTTTATTTTTTAACGCGTTAATGGCAAGAAGAAGCCTTCCTTCATAGCTAGGATCCATTTTTGCACGTTTTTTAGGCATTTTTGATGTTGTAAAGTTCGTGTGAAAATGATGGGTTGAAAATCGAGTGGAATTTTTGGTGGGGTGGCCGGTTTACTCGGGAAATACGTTATTTACTATTTATTCGCGCCCCCTCCTCTGAAAATATAGAAAGGAGCCCTCGGACAATTATCGTATAGAAAACCCTCACTTTTGTTGTGAAGCGCATGGATTTTTGAGATACAATGGAATCACGATGCTTTTATTTTGGTGACCAGTATGTTATGCCGAATCTGTCTCACAGCGAATAATGGCTGGATCAATTTCCACATAGAACATTGAAATTCATCGTACAGGTAAATAGGCTTAAGCCAGAGAATCAGTCACGCAGCCGTGGCTCGCGTCTCCGACAAGTCTGTAATTCGAAAGAAAAAAAGTAAAATCATTAGTCTGTGCTGAACGATATCTCAATCAAGATTTAGGAAGGGAGGGGGAAAACATACCGAGCATATTTGCCTAGTGTGCCTCGCATAGTCAACCCGGTAGGTGGTAACCTGCCCTCTGCACGATCAGCCTCCCATTGCATGCGGCGCGAGGCCAGCTCATTCTCGTCGACATGCAAATCCAGAACACGCGTTTCAGCGTCGATAGTGATGTCGTCGCCATCCTTGACCAGTCCAATGGGCCCACCGACCGCAGCCTCGGGGACAATGTGACCGATCAAAAACCCGTGAGAACCGCCGGAGAAGCGGCCGTCTGTGATCAGAGCGCAGGACGAACCCAGTCCGGCACCCATGAGAGCGGAGGAAGGTTTAAGCATTTCTTGATACGTGTTAGTTTTATTTTTTCTTCCTTTTTTTTTTCTCAAGGCGGGGAACGGATAAGAGTTTAATGGATATTCCAGGGAAAATAAAGGCGATAAACAAAAAAAAAAAAAAGATACGTACCAGGCATTCCAGGACCACCCTTGGGACCACAGTAGCGAATGACAACAACAGTCTTGTCCTCCTTCTTGATCTCCTTGCGCTCGAGAGCGGCAACGAAGTCATCCTCGTCGTCAAACACGCGCGCCTTGCCCTTGAAGACCGTGCCTTCTTTGCCAGTAATCTTACCGACACAGCCCTCCGGTGCGAGACTGCCCCTCAAGATCTGAATATGACCTGTGCTCTTGATTGGTTGGGTCAATGGGCGGATAATCTTCTGCTCAGCAGGGAAGTCGGGCACATTCTCCACGTTTTCGGCCAGGGTCTTTCCAGTAACCGTGATTCCGGATCCATCAATCAAGCCTTCCTTCAGCATAAACTTGATCAAAGAAGGAGTACCTCCGATCTGGTACAAGTCGTTGAAAACGTACTTGCCGGACGGCTTGAGGTCAGCCAGGTACGGGGTGCGGTCAGAGACGGCCTGGAAGTCGTCGATAGTCAATTTGATGCCGACAGAGTCTGCGATGGCAATCAGATGGAGAACCGCGTTGGTCGAGCCACCGGTGATGTTAACCAGGATCATTGCATTCTCGAATGCCTGGCGGGTCAAAATATCGGATGGACGGATGTCCTCAACCAAGAGATTCTTAATGGCCTGACCAGCAGCCAAGCATTCAAGCTGCTTGACCTTGGAATCGGCCGGGTTCGACGAAGATCCTGGCAAGGTCATGCCCATAATCTCAATGGCACTAGCCAACGTATTTGCAGTATACATGCCACCGCAAGCACCCTGACCGGGGCAAGCATGGCGGATAATATCAAAGCGCTTCTCTTCATTGATTTCACCCGTCAAGAACTGTCCGTAAGCCTGGAAAGCAGAGACAATATCAATGTCGGCATTGTTCTGTGTCGCAGCACAGCCAGCCTTGATAGAGCCTCCGTAGACCATTATACTAGGTCGGTTGACCCGACCCATAGCCATCAGAACACCGGGCATGTTCTTGTCGCAGCCGGGAATGCTAATATTCGCATCGTACCATTGACCCCCCATGACGGTCTCAATCGAGTCAGCGATAAGATCCCGACTCTGCAATGAGAACCGCATTCCCTTGGTACCCATACTGATTCCATCGCTGACACCAACGGTGTTGAATTGGTATCCGATCAACCCGGCCTTCTCGACACCCTCTCGGACCAGGTTATTGAGCTCTAGCAGATGCATGTTGCATGGGTTTCCTGTAAGCCAGACCGACGAAATTCCCACCTGGGCTTTGTTCATATCAGACTCCGACAGCCCCGTAGCGTACAACATGGCCTGAGAAGCGCCCTGGGAGATGGGCTGTGTGATGGTCCGTGAAACCTTGTTGAGGACCTCATCGTCCTTTCGACGGGGGAGTGTCGTGGAAAGCGAGCGCCTGCCAAGAATTCCATGCAATTAGACAACCATTGTCTGGCTTCGTCGATGTTCATTTTCACAAATAACTCACGAGGCAAATTGGGTACTCTGGAAAGCTCTCAGAGCTGAGGGCAGCCGCCCTCGCGTTTGTGACAAAAACATTTTTCTTCCCACCGCCCTTCGCGCACAAGATCAGGAATAGAATTGGAGGAGAGGAGATATATCGACGGAGTAAGAAAAATGCTCTCTGGATCCTGTCTTGGTGCCAACCATCCACAGAGCGAAACACAGATGGAAGATGGCAAATGATGGAAATTCCGCAACGACGTTTATGAGTCGGGGTTTCGGCCGGGGAAGCAAGGTGCCTCTCCGGCCGGTCTTTCTTGCGGGGCGACATCGGCTTGCAGCAGTGCTGGCCAATCAGCGCTTCTTCTATGGTCAGCTCCGCTCCGCGCTGCACTAAGCATATAAACTAGTTGTAAAAGTCTGGGGAAGTTGCTTTTATTTTGTTTTTATATGGTTGCAAAGAAAATTGTACCTAGGTATTCTTTTTTCTAAACCAGTAATCCGCGCATAAAATCTTGGCAGTAGTCGTTATAAGGCATGAGGCATAGCTAATCATAAACATGGCGTATATAGTACAAACAGTACGCATAACTCTTCTCTTTTTTTACCCCCTCCTTTTCATGGCACTTCTTTATCTCCTCTTTTCAATTCACCATCCAAATCAAGGGCTTCTTTGACATAGGCAAGCTGTGAAATCTCATCTAAGCTCTTTCGGCGTGAATGACGCTTCAGCAATCCTTCAACACACTCACGAGCTCCCTCTAGCCCTTTGCCCTTGACTGGATCCCATTCTTCCTCTTCATCAGTATACCGATACCATGACCATTCACACCGTGCTATCCGATGTGGAGTGCGAGCACGCAGTTTGGCTGGATCGCCTCTTGTGCCTGGCAGGGCGTCAAAGGGTAGTCGGTTCTCCATCATAGCATACAGCAGAACACCAAGTGCCCATGCATCTGTCGAGCGCCCATCATAAGGCTGGCCCATGAGAATCTCTGGCGCTGCATAATCCTCACTGCCGCAGCGTGTATGGAGCAAGGGACTCTCTGGTGGCTCTGGGATTCTTCGAGATAGGCCCAAGTCACTTACAGTGATTACCGCACGGTCATATGTGCGCCAATCAGATATCTGTTCCATGGCTGAAGGGGGCAAGTTGACTAAAACATCTGATCGGGAGTCAGAACTATTCATCCAATGTCACGGCGAGAGGCGGTGAAAATATAGCAACTTACTCTCGAGCTTGATGTCGCGGTGGACTATAAAGTTAGCATGCAAGTAGCGCACCGCCCCGACTAACTCAGCAAACATCCTTCTGATCAGGGGCGGAGTCATTAGGGACTTCATCTCTGACGTTGCAAACTCAAACAGATCTCCACCCGGGCAGTAATCCAAAACCAGTAGTGCGCGTTTATCGTCGCTTCCAAAAGCTTTCAATTGAACCAAGGAGGGATGATTGACCAACTTCAGGATTTCGACCTCCCGCTTAAGGGAAACCTCGACACGCTCCTCGTCTGCTCCACCAGCCGGTCCGTACTCGATAATCTTGACGGCGACCAGCTTTTGCGACATCAGGCTGGGCATCCGAAAATGCCCATCCTTCCCAGAGGCATCTTCCGGTATTCTCACCGCCAGACTGACTTGGCTGAATGTGCCATGGCCTAATTGGCGAAGCTTTCTGTATTTCCTCGGCTGCTGGGTACGGATTGATCGCACAAAGTAGGTCTCATTCTGAGAGCCACTGTCGGGCTCGTTCTGGATGATTGGCTTTGAGTCTATATCTTCATCGCCGCTGCGAGCTGAGCGAGGCGGGGTTGGCGGCCGGGCTGCGGAGTGCGTCAAGCCTCGTTGGACCGCGAGATACTGCTCACGATGTAAGCTATTCGGGTCAGATGTCGACACTCCAGATGCCGAGGAGAGTTCCGACGAACGATTGGTGCGCGTTAAGAGATCTGGCCTTGGAAAAGACGTGACTTCCTTCTTCGGGATATGCTCGCTCAGACTGCGGTTGCGTGAATGGCCGCGTGTGTCGTCCTGTCCATCCACCAGCTCGCTTTCCCGCACATCACTACCGGTCAATCGAGTACTGCTGTATCTCCTCGACCGAGACCTGGACGAAGCGGTTCGGAGGAATTGATTCGAATCGCTCAGACGTAGATTCAAAAATGAGCCGCTGCGCGAAAGTGACGACGATGTTCGTGAGAGAGAATGCGACGAGACTGTCCGTCCGCCAGAGCGCCATGAGGCGGGGCTCAGATAGCCGATCGGCGACGGCAGGGGGGTAATATCTGCCATGGCAGCCAATGCAGGCGAGGAAATGGCTGACGACCGCATTGACGAGGGAGAAAGTGAATCTGCACTGGACATTGTATTGCCCCTCACTGTATAACTAGCAGTTCGCCGGGGAAGGCTGGTTGACGAAAGGCTCTGGCGTAGCGGCGTGTCATTGTCGTTCAGCGGAGTTACAGGGCGGCGGTCGGCCGGAGGAAGGTCGGTATGTATGTGTAATGAAGGGAATGGCTGGTTTCTGGGAAGGTAATGCAAGGTATTGTGAGCACTCCATGGCGCAGGCGTGGTGGTGGTGGTGGTGGTGGTGGTAGGCTGAGGGACATCGCAAACGGGACCCGACGTTGACGTTCTCGTTCGGCTTTGGAGTTCCGCAGGCAGTAAAGCCCGGGGTGGCGGCTGGTCTTGCTGCGTCTCTGACCCAACGGCCTGCCGAGTCGCATCGGCAGTCGACATGGAACTCCTCTTTTTTCTTCTTTTGCGATGTGTTGAAGAAATTCGAGTCGTGGACTCACTCCACTGTGTTTCTCTCGCGGATCTCGCTGTCGCTGCTCTTTCCGTCTGGCCGCAGGGAAGGAAGGATGCGGGAAGGCCCCAACGGAAACGGTCACTTGGGGGGGGG